ACACACACTCACATATATGCGATGCCTCTTTTCATTCCAAACCTGATACATTGGAAAAACTCGATGAGCACCGAAAACGAACACACCGGAAATCAGTTGATATATTTACCTCCATCACTCCAGTGCTCGTGAACAAGTTCAGAAATAGAATAGAAGTAGGTGGAGAAAAGTGTAGGCATATAACTTGGCCGCCGTTCGGAAGCCCTATCCTTCCCACATCTGCATAGTCTATGTGTAAAAGTTATGATACTATAACTGAATATTTAAACATTCACTAATGAAGTTAATTATTTGATTTTGTTATCCGTGTTATCTTAGTTGTAGTGTGCATTAGAGTGAAAGGGGACTGGGCCCCATTCTATTTCTATTCTCAATACATACCCTTTATTTAGCACAACTATTATTATTATTATTATTATTATTATTATTATTATAGATACATCTGATCAACATATGCTGTCATCCAAAGAACAATATAAATATGCTCGTGACGGCCTCATCATTTCATTCCGCAACCTCCCACTTAAATCTCTTTTAAAGACCCACTTTTTTAATTCTGTCTATATCTCTTAGATTTTATTTTAATATATATATGTTTGTTTTTTTTTAATAAGATTGATTTTTAGTAGTGTAAATTTTAAATGGTTTCCAATGAGAGTTTATGATTAAAATATTGTAGTCATTTTAATGATTTTAGTATATTAGCCATTATTGTAAGGCGCCTTGAGATAGAATGTAAGGCGCCATATAAGAATCTTATTATTATTATTATTATTAATTATAAACCGTTCAAACTTCGCAAATTAATTGGCATTTGACGCTGGAATAAATTATGGAAACATTATTTATGCTGGAACGATGCAAGTGTTCCTCATGCAAAAACCCAAGTTTACTTTAGTCATAATCCTAGCAAGGAGAAAGAGGAAGAAACACCTTGCACGATGAAGGAAGTGCGTTTTAGCACCTGTATAGGGGTGACGTTGATATGCCGTGCGATAATCCATCATCAGTGTTTTTTTTTTTTTTTTTTTTTTTTTTTAAGAAAAAGTGTCACAATTGAGAAAATTAAGTTAATGCATCAATGTTCAAAAATCAAATATCTCAATATTACTATGAGCCGTTTTTACTATACGGAAGAGCGATGATGTCTTTTTTTAATGAGGATAAAATGTAATTTAGCTCCACCCATGTTGATTATAGGCATGCTTTGAGGTTGTTTTCTTGTCCCGTTCCCTGAACTGACTTCATCTCTCTCTCTCTCTCTCTCTCTCTCTCTCTCTCTCTCAAATAATGTGAATGACGTCCTTTAGTTTTCGTGTGATCCGTTTTCAGCTGTTTCCCTACTAAAAATTTAGTATGGTGAATTCAGGAAGCATTCTCCAGTACTTATCGCTCAAAATACAAATATACCTCTGCGACAACCTCAATTGATTTCGACGCACATGTAGAGCCTTCAGCAACTTGTTTTCAGCGTTCCCTTGACACTGAATGTGCGCAAAACAAAGATGTAGATAGGCCTACATCTCTATGCTTACATCTTGGACCCATCATACATGTATGGTGGTTCAAAGTTCCAAGGAATAGATGAATAGACAGATGCAAGAATTACGATAAAAAATACGGTGCCCGACATTTAATTATCCTGTGCAGTATCAATACACAGTTTCCCATGGTATCATGATTGTTTTTGTTTATCCGTTTGTTTTGCTATCTGTCTGGAAAATGATGACGCAAATGTTACTCTGGGTCTGTTTGTAATTTGTTTTTTGTACATAAACCCGACGTCAAAGTAAAGGGGGCGAGTGTTACTGTTTACATTCATATCTCGCCGTAAGCCTCCCGAGAGCTGGCTTTTCACCTCTTCAGAGACGAGAATGTACAGAGTATAATCAACCGCGTGGGTGTAGCCGAGAGACTTTCTGCAATATCTCAATTTCATTTTCTAGCAAATAATTGCAAATTGTGATTATGGACCAGAAGAGATAATTAACGAGCTTTGAACCGCGCCATTGATCGTGTAGGCTAAACTGGACGTCACAAAGAAGAGGTACTGAATCGCGATTTTTCATATATTGAATTGCCGTATAACTGCATGCTATTTTGGAAACTGGTACCTATATTATAGGCTATTCCATTTGGATAAGAGGCATATATCGTTTTTTTATCATATCGGCGATGTGCTCTCGTAAGTTTTTTTGTAACAAACGTGTGTGTGTGTGTGTGTGTTAACGTGTGTGTATTGTATGCAGTAAAGCTCCCATCCACAGCTCAATTAAACACCACCATTAAAAAAAATCCCTGCCCACATTTAACTTTTTTTCATAATGTTCTTCCCTCAGGCAACTGTATTTTCCTCAGAGTAATCAAGTCTTTTTCATTATTGTTTATACCTATAAATAAAGACAGCTTGTCTTAGTCTAAAATTGTGACGATTTGTCCCTCGCTATTGTTTCACCTTCCATCACACCAAAAATGGACATAAAGCAGTTGAATGAAAGACGGGTTCTTCACCTTAAAGAATCTAATTTTACCAGTGCAGGCTTGTATTTAAACAATCGTCCCGAATCTTATCGTGATAGCATTGCGAGGTCATGAGTACATTCAACTGGAGGGATAATGTACCTTGGGCAGGTAGGGGGACTGGGGTCATATCAGGACACGGGTGATTTTATTTGAAACGGGGCGTGTTTTGGATACCATGTCTTTGTTGTCTGCTCTCTTTCTTGATCTATTGTCTAGTTGCCTGGCGTTGTTTTTTTATTGTTTTCCACGGTCAATACTTTTTGTTTAGTATATTCGTCAAACATTGAGCATTTTGTGGTATTCACAGTCATATTTACATTAAGTAAATGCACGCTATTGTTTTAACTATTTCGGCAGGTAAAGGATTCCTCTAGTTCTAGTTCATTTTTCTTTGATGAAGTATGAAATCTTGTCATTCATTTTGCAGAAAAACAGAAAATGTGGTGGATTCAGCA